ACTATGTTTGAAATTTCTGTGAGATTTAAATTACCCTAATTATTTTAAGTGTATACAGTTACTATAGGTATATAGTGTATATAATGGTACCTACTGTAGGCACCAAAGATTAAATAGAGTCTCTCTGATATGTAATAGTATTTGAACATGTACATTCCTTAGACGATTGCTTTGGAAACACATTTTTACAGAGTCAAATCTAGGGTTGAGAAATGATGAAGTTTTTATTTATGAAATTTATAATACCCTTTAAACTAGACAATTTTGAACATTCTTACACATGTTTGGGCTCACAAGTACAAGCCCTCAGGATATTTGACTATACCTCTTCAGAACATGGAATGTAAATCAAACTGAGCTGAAATTTAGAGAAATGTTGATGACTATAAGATTGCTATTTTTGCAACCAAACGCCTGGATCCCCTCTGGTGAGTGTCATATCAATTTCATGTGTTTAATTTTCCCATCTCTGTTTCAAAACTGAGCAAGTAATTGCACCAATAAGTAATTATTAAATAAAAATGATAATATTCCAATAGAATTGACCTAAACTATGAAAAGATCGAGGGAGTGCTTATTATGAGACACAATCTATAATGCTGCCTGTTAAAATATCTTGCCAAAAGTAATGGAACTCAGTTGACGTCTTGGAGTTCAGATAGAACGTGAACACAAGTTGAACAACTTCAAATTCACAGTTGAAATTCTAGGATGAAAAATATTTTTTGGGAAAAGTAACCAGAAGGAGGTAATTTCTCTCTCAGTGCAACTTGTGAAAATGAACTCAATTTTAATTTATGAGTAGTTTCAATCCTAGTTAGCATCCAACTCATCAAAATCAACTCACACGTTGATGAATGTGTATAGTAATAACTGCTTAACGTTCAACCAGGCGTGTTACTAGCCTAGTGGTTAGCCTGTCAGACATCTGTGTGAAAGGGGTGGTTTCCATTCCTGACTTGTCTATACAAGATGGAGTGGTTTGAACAGTTTTACCTTAAGGGTGCGCACTACCTCAGCTCGGGCTTCAGTAGCTATGTTGCGCCATTGAACAGCGCCGCGAGAAGCGCTTGCAGAGGTTTATGGGCCCTGCCTTTGTAAATTACCCATACATGCTAGAAACGGTGGTTTAAAGAACAAAGAAAGAATAATCCATACGACCTTGGTTTAATTTTTTTATAACGATTCTTAAATAAGTTTAATTAGTTTGAAATTGCCGTTTTTCGTCTACATTAAAAGAAGATTTTCAGGCTTTATAGTAGGATATTAAACATATTGAAATCGCCATACTTTATATAATTTAATCTTCTTCAAAATTCCACCCTAACTTTGATTCTACGTTAAGTGTAGCCTTCGGAAACACGGGGCCCCCAAACCCTTGCATTTACACGGAACGGGAGAGGTAGGGCGGACCCATAAAAGTGTTTATGATTCTAAAATTCAAAATGGCACTGCCGTAGCTATAAAAAAAATACAGATAGCACCCAAATCTCAATGGGTGGCTTTAAAGCAAAGTGTTATAGATAAAGTGTTAGAAGGAGGGATACAGATACAGACATTGGTTCTAACCTCTGTGGCACACCCGTTGTTGGTGGTATGGGTACAAGGATTGGGCCCACAGTTGGCACAGGTAACTATCTCATTGGCTCCTCCCCCCTCACCTTTCTTGTCCCCCTGAAAAGAAGAGAGAACAAAAATTAATCAGTGATCAACATGAGATAAGAGTGTGTGTGGTTTTATTGGCCAATTAGCCTTTCCTCATATGTTGGTATATTCTTCAATTGACATTGGTCTATTAACATTACTTAACTATCCTTAACAATTGGTTAACATTGACACACAAGATGCTTTTCTCCATCAACAAGTACAAGTCGCCCAGAAAAAATTAACTTGAAGGTTTCAAAACATTTGTTGATTTAAATTTAGAAATACAAAACTGATTATATCATGTTACCTGGATGAAAATCATAAAAATTAGTAAAAGTATTGTGAGATGAAAATCTTAACAGATTGTAAACTTAAATTTACAACTACATATCACTTACACGTACGTTAATACTAGTACGTAATTTCCAACCATTCAAAACATCTCTTTGACAGTTGACAATCATTTACAAAATCCACATTTATTCAAAACGGTTATCATATACAGGGTGAATTTTAAATGAGTTCCCCCCCTACTTTTTTCTACATTTCTTAAGATATCATCTCCGGACCACGTCAGATCATTGTTGAGTAGTAAGTACTTCATTTGGACTGGGTATACATTTTTGGCCGCCATCTTGGATCCGCCATATTGGATACAAAGTTTATTTTTCAAATGTAAAGGTAGGGTTGTGACCCATTATTTCAAACTAGAATTTTACGCTGATTACAATGCCGCAATTAGTTTTTAAAAATCTTGATTCGTTCTAAAGTTATGAGGCATTTTTATAACTTTATTTTTAGCCCATTTTAACATTGTGCATTAACAAACTAAGACCATAATCTCAAAATAGTGCTAGATAAAGATAAGTATACACCACCATTCATTGTTGACATATTTTCACTTGGTTATGACGGATGTAATTTTTTCAGCCGCCATCTTGGATCCGCCATTTTGAAACATGATCAATGTCATTAAATAAGAAGGTGGTGTTGTGACCCATCATTTTGAACTACTTTTTTATACTGGACTCAATGCCGCAATCCGTTTTTGGTTATCAAGCTTTCTTGATGAAATATTAAAATACTCTTATTTAAAATTTCAATATTTCAAAATCCAAAGATGCAAATGAAAAACGGATTGCGGCATTGAGTTCAGCATGAAAAACTAGATCAAAATGATGGGTCACAACACCACCTTCATATTTAAATTAATTGATCACATTTCAAAATGGCGGATCCAAGATGGCGGCTGAAAAAACTACATCCGTCATAACCAAATGAAAATAAGTCGACAATGAATGGTGGTGTATACTTATCTTTATCTAGCACTATTTTGAGATTATGGTCTTAGTTTGTAAATGCACAATGTTAAAATGTGCTAAAAATAAAATTATAAAAAGTCCTCATAACTTTAGAACGGATCAAGATTTTTAAAAAATAATTGCGGCATTGTAATCAGCGTAAAATTCTTGTTTGAAATAATGGGTCACAACCCTACCTTTACATTTGAAAAAAAACTTTGTATCCAATATGGCGGATCCAAGATGGCGGCCAAAAATTTATACCCAGTCAAAATGAAGTACTTACTACTCAACAATGATCTGACGTGGTCCGGAGATGATATCTTAAGAAATGTAGAAAAAAGTAGGGGGGGAACTCATTTAAAATTCACCCTGTATATTGAAAAGCAACCAACAACCTTGTGAGTATTTCAACTTTGTTTTCCAAGCTTAGGCTTTGTAATTATAATGTACTGATTGCCTTTCACAGGGAGTCCTAAGAATCAACGTACAAAAATTGTATCATAAAATTCTGTCGACTAAACTTGTTATCAGAAGTGAGATAAATACTTGTCTAAGAAGTAACATACCACGAAGGGCACTTGATTGGTTAAATGTTACCTCATTACCTCCATCTTTTCATAGGGTACAGAAGTACTTACTAGGGTACAGAAGTTATCTCACAAAGGTTCCATACATAGTGGTGTTTGTTTGGTATCAATTAAATGAGGGTTGTTTGAAGTTTGATAAAGGTGAAGGATTAAATGAGGGGAATGAAAGGAAGCTAGCGTATAGGGAACTTACGTAGGTACTTATCTATTTTTATCCATTCATAGGGAGAAATGTTCATAATAACCTAAATTTCAACAGGACCAGAAACTGTGTTGTTGTACTGAAAATATGATTAGTAAAGTTGAATTACCGATGTTAAATAACCATCACTGAATTGTAATTGTGCATATTTTGTATTAAACTTCTAAAAGTACAAACTCATAATGGTAAGCATAAGTGAATGTGTCAACATTTTTGTCTGAACTTTTGAGGCCAATCAGCTCAATTCCTTAATTAACATATGAATGTGGAACCTTTCATGTTCACTGTATTTTGATATGTTTGTTACCTTACATATACATCTGTGATTTAACGATAGAAATTATATATTTTCTCCCTCTATGTTCATTGTTACACCAGTGATAACCATTAGTATTTTTTAAGAAAGACTCACTGTCATTTATAGTTTAAGTTAGTTAAGTTTGCATATTTTTAACCCTGGTAACCTGTTAAATGTTAAATAAAGGGCAGCCTATAATTTGGATTTTTCATGTCAAATTTTTTAAGTACAGTATGTATATAAGTATTGCATCTTATATCTTTTACAATAATAATGACAATGTCAATTACTATACTGTGTTGTTAAAAGACTAAATAAATGACTATTCATAACAAGGTTATTTTGCCCTTTTGGGCCTGAATTTAAAAATTTAGGAATAAAACCTAATACTTATAATATAAATAAATACATATTTAATAATAGGGTATTTTAATTTTTTGCAAAAAAAAAGCTTTTTCAAGGTTAAAAAATGAAGTTTTTCAACAGGTTTTGTAAATTAAACTTGATCATAATAATGCACTCATTAACGTATACAATGTTTGACTTTATATACATCCAAAGTTTTAACAGCCCCTCAGTTAAGAGTAATCAAGGGGTCAACAAATGGACTGAATTACCACTCTTAATTACTCTCTGGGGCATAAATCTCACGTTTATTTAGCACACATGTTAACTATAAACCTCTAAAATTGTCTTTAAACCCTGTCTTAAATGTAATTCGGTATCTATACTTTTAGGTTAACATAAACTAAACCACACAACAACTCATATTATTTTTGTATTTTACTAGAGTTGTATATCCTGGATTATTATTTTAATTTTTTCGATGACTGAAATTATACTAATAATTATAATAATAATAATTATACTAATTATAATAATACATGAAACCATGGATTTTTGTGGGGTTTTATCTACAGTGTAAACACAGTGTTGGTTCATGTAAACACTTTAACCCATTTTCAATTACTATTCAAACCTTACAGCTGTCTTGTTTTTTAAGTCATACTTACTCTAAAATATTAATAACACAGTTTTTATCACTTGGTGCCAGTTAATTTGGATGGTATTCAGTTTTTAAATAACTAGAAAGCTTGCTTGCTATTAAAGCTATTCAATGTGTATAAAATTGTTATGTGTAATAAATCTTCTGATTTATTTATTTATTTAGGTGAAATGCTTATGGTGAAAATACAACCATGTTGCATAAAGTGAATTATTCCTGTTACCTATGCTTTGTGTGAGAAATACTGATATTAAAATTAGACTAAACATATAATTATGCTTAATGTAATTTTGTTCTTTAATATGGTATTGAACTTGGGGGTTCTCATCAGAAATATAGAGAATCTTACTTCTTCTTAATTACTGTCCCTAGCTTAATTTTTTAAACACTAACAACTGTTCAGTCTAAATATGATATTTTACATAGCCAAAAATACAAGATTCAAACATAATTTTAGGAATCCAAAACATCAGTAATAACTATTTCTTTATGACTTTTTTCTCTATCTACTGATTCTTGTATTATCAATGCAATTTTGACTGACAATGTCACCTGTTTAGTAGCTATACCATATTGTAAAACAAAAACAATATTCCAATAAACACTGACCTTGTAGATATGTTTAAAAAGTATGGACCATATGAAGATCTATTATGTGGTCAAAATAATTTTATGAATAATATAAGCTCCGCTAACAAGTCTTCATTTGTTGATAACATAAAAAATGTAGCAATATTCATATTGCTATACTATTATTTTTCTTGCCATGATTTGAAAATAATTCCCATAACATCGTAAGCTTGAGTTAGGTAGGATAAAAAGGCTTTCCTGCTACAACCTAAATTTTGCCTTAGCCTTGGCCTTTTTAATACAGGGTTAGGCAAAAGTCTGGAACCCCCCAGTTAACTTTTTAACACGTTGCAGTAGGAAAACCAAACTCGGCACACATTTACAACATAAAAAAATGCACTTTTTCTTTAAAATTAGAACTTGTACCCGGCCCTCAAAGTGGGGTATTTTGGGGGCAGCCCCAAATTTTCAAATGTAAA